TTCTTTTATTGTTTTTACCTTAGCAAAATCTTAGTCACTAAAGCTGGTTTCCCCCTTGCCAGGTGGTAGTGGTACACACCTTTAATGCCAGCACTCAGGAAGCAGAGGCAGGTGGATTTCTGAGTTTGAGGCCAGCTGGTCTACGGGCGAATCCCCCTTAATTTTGCCAGCTGTCCAGCATTTAATCTATAACAGTAGATCATAGTTAATGCCCTGGCCAGAAGCCATAGTATTGGTGACATAAATGGGAAATGGGGAGACACGTTCTTCCAGCTACTCGGAGGGGGAGGAATTTATAACCAGCAACAGACAAGTAAGTACTCACTGATATCCCAACCCAAGAAGGGGTCCAGCTACTCTCTTGCCAGCCCTTCTCTTCTGGCAGCTTCTGGAGGGCTAAACAAAGCACCTGAAATGCTCCCTCCCCCGCCCCCAGTGGCTGCTCTGGAGTCCACTTGCTTCTCCAGTTTCCTCCAGCAGCCTCCTGTGACCAAGGCTGACTGTGATGGCGACTTCTGGAAAAGCAGCTAGCACGACATGGTGTCAACAGTACAAGTGTATCGAACGATGTCAGGACATACCTCAGATGTACAGCAATAACATATAACTGTAATTCTTGGTGGAGGCTGAGGGAAGTGTGGTGATAAAATACAGCAATAACACATTAACACCTGAGAAGGATTAGAACCCTAAACTTATTAGTGTTCTCAAGACAGTGGTTCCTTTCTCTGCTTAGCTCACCTGGTATAATGCCAACAATGAGCATCTCATTACAGTGCTTATGACATTTAAGGGCACTGCTAGAAACAACGAACGTAGGGACATTCCCACCCATCAGTTCCAGTTCCTTCTTCAAGACCATCTTCCACAGGTATCTCAAAATGATTGTATTACTTATTGAGCAATTACTAATGTGCTTAACGTAGCACTGATTCTAGTTGTTTTTAATACTAAAACCTCAGTCAGATATTGAGGTTAATTCTGAGGATCAGAGAAGCAAAGCAGTCAGCCACTAGAGAATCCTTACCTTTCCCATGCTCAGATTGTATCCGGAGACTGCTCAGACTGCACTGCTCCTCAGACTGCATCTCTCTTGTCTCCTCCTGCCTTATATTCCTCTCTCTGCCCAGCCACACCACTCCTGCCTCCTCTTCCCTAGTGCTGGGACTAAAGGAATGTCTCTCCAAGTGCTAGGATTAGCGTTGTGTGAATTGTTTCTCTTTTAGACTGATGTGTAGCCCAGGGTGGTCTTGAACTCACGGAGATCCCTCTGCCCCTGTCTCCCTAGTACTGGAATTAAAGATGTGTGCCACCACTGCCTGGCCTCTATGGCTAACTAGTGTGGCTAGCTCTGCACTCTGGTCCTCAGGCAAGCTTTGTTAGTTCATAAAATATCACCACAGCTTAAGACTCATTCAACTCTAGTTACTGAGATGGACATTTCCCAGTTAGAAAGAAAAATATAGAAGAAACACAGTGTTGTAGATTATTTTAAGATGTGTTACATTTGTTTATGCTGTGGAACATTTGTTTTTATGATGCAAAGATATGTCCTTTTCTGATACATTTATTTAACTGTGTGAAACTGTGTTATTTTGCTATCTAAAACACCTGATTGGTCTAATAAAGAGCTGAAAGACCAATAGCTGGGCAGAGAAAGGACAGGCAGGGCTGGCAGGCAGAGAGACTAAATAGGAGGAAACATCTGGGAGGAAGGAGATCAAGGAGCAAGAGAGGATGCCAGGGGCAGCCACCCAGCCACCCAGCCAGCCTCGGAGCCAGAAGGAAAGTAAGATACAGAAGAAAAGGAAAAAGCCCAGAGACAAAAGGCAAATGGGATAATTTAAAGAAAACTGGCTAGAAACAAGTCAAGCTAAGGCTGGGCATTTGTAAGTAAGAATAAGCCTCCATGTGTGATTTATTTGGGAGCTGGGTGGCAGGCCCCCAAAGAGCAAAGAGGAAAAGAGTAATAAAAACTAACACACAACCAACTCACCAAGTCTGAGCTAATTAGCTACAGACCTGGTATTGGAAGCCAAGTAAGGCTCCAGATGACAACTCTTAAGAAGTCATTTCTTTATTTCTCCTTTCTTCCCTCTACTGTGCTGGGAAGCATCAGAGTCAGAGAACTGATCAAACTACTCTTTTTTTTTTTTTTCTATCAGCGCTGTCTGCGTGTATGCCTGCATACCAGAAGAGGGCACTAAATCCCATTAGAGATAGGTGTGAGCTGCCATGTGGATGCTGGGAATTAAACTCAGGACCTCTGGAAGAGCAGCCAGTGCTCTTAACTGCTGAACCGGCTCTCTAGTACGTGACTAATTCTTTTAAAACAATCATTTACATTTCTTCTTCACTTTCTTAATCTTGGCACTGATTGTTAGTGACTTACCACTGCTAAGACTCATATCTGTCAAACAAAAACCTCAGTCATCAAGGAAATAATATAATTTACTTGCAATCGACATAAAACGTCCCTTCTGGTTGCATGATATCTTTCTCCCCCACTTTCCCCAAAGCCTCCAGAGTGTCTCCTCCAAACAATGAGGAGCCAACCTCCATCAACACCAACCAGGTGTAAGGAAAGCACAACCTAGAAAGTCTCTTGATGTTTAGTTGTGAACCTAGCCTCTAGGCGGGCCATTTTGCCAGCTCAACATGGAGTATTTCTAAATGAGCTTAGTTTTCATAGTAAAAGAAGGGAGGATGGGAGGATGTTTCTCAAAAGTTAGCAAAAGTTGCTTTTGCTAAACATGATCCAGTGGCTGTATTTACAGTTAATTTTTTTGTTTTTAATTCTTGAGACAGGGTTTCTCTGCGAAACAGTCCTGGCTGTCCTGGAACTAGCTCTGTACACCAGGCTGACCTCAAACTCACAGGGATCTGCCTGCCTCTGCCTCCCAAGTGCTGGGACTAAAGGTGTGTGCCACCATCTCCTGCTCATTATGTATTTTAATGTTTAGCATGGAAAAGACTTTAGAGTAATTGATTCCCATTGATTAAAGGGGTTGGGGGCAGAGACTGCAGGATGGCAAATTTGAGGCTAACAAAACCCTATCTCATAGAGAGAGCAAAAGCCAGAAGCAAGCCAGAAAACATGAGTTAAGCATCAAACAGACATGGTGAGACTATCTTTTTAAAAACTGTATTAAGATATGTTGACTTAGCCAGGCGGTAACACAGAGAAACCATGTCTCAAAAAAACCAAAAAGATAAGTGGATTTATTAGTGATTTAACTTTCACATGCAATAATTTGATTTGGGTTGTGGTGACAGAGCCTGCAGTAGCAGCCTGGGAGTTTGAGGCAGGATTGCCATGAGATCAAGGCCAGCCTGGGCTAAACTGACCGTTTTAAAGAAGTGTTTTCAAAAGTCAAAATTATAAACTTTGAATGTGGGGCTGGAGACATGGCTCAGCAGTTAAGAGCACTGGCTGCTCTTCCAGAGGACCTGGGTTCAATTCTCAGCACCCACATGGCAGCTCACAACTGTCTGTAACTCCAGTTCCACAGGATCTGACACCTTCACACCAATGCACATGAAATAAATTTAAATTAAAAATTTTGAATGGGAGCTGGTATGGCAACCCACTGCAATTCCAGGGTCAGGAGGCTGAGGCAGGAGGATGAGTTAGAGATGCGTCTGCGTTAGGATACCCCACTTCACAGAACACTGCTTCCCCAATAAAACCATAAAAATTTTGTAATGCATATCTATGAATATGTAATTTCACTTTTATCTTGCCTTGAGAGTTCCTTACATAGCATATGAAAGTATTAAATTTATCATCAATGTCAACAGCAGTGTTGGTTAGCATAAGAAACATTATGGGGTTTTCTTTGGTGAATGCAGCTTGAAAGGGAAGCAGTTGCCAAGAAGAATTTACATCAAAATGTTGAAGTTTAGGGATCTAGCAGATCTTGTAAGGGATGACTTTTAGTTAGAATCTCACAACCTCCCTCCACACTTCACTAGGGTTTAAGATGCTGTTGCCTGATTCAGAGTTTCAGGGAAGATACATGGAAGGGACTTGCCCAAAGCTCCCAGAGTCTCTGCTTAGACTATGTATCCAGGTGAGAAATTCTGTTTCAGGTAGTGAGGAGATGCAGGAGAAACACAGGCTTACCTGTGGTAGCCAGCAGCTTCTTCTAAATGGATCTCTGATTGAAGAATGACCCAAGCGACCCACAGTGTGCAGTGGTGTTGTGAGCACTAAAAGCCACTCATTCCATGGTGAGGGTACCATGTGACTCCCAAGTGCCCCACTTAGATGTAGTGTCCTACTGAACAGCCCCTTGAAGAAGTGAACACAGGCCTTCAAGAGTGGACAGAAAGCAACCCAGTCATTATAAAGGCCAAACTCACTGTCTGGCAATGTGGCTCTTAACAACAGGTAATGAAACACATCACCTTTAATTAAAACTTGGTTACTTAGAAAGCTTGTGGTTTGTTAATGAGTAAGCCAGCTTGAATATCTAAACATAAAAAAAACAACTTAGCCAAAACACAATGATTACTTTGAACTTTAAATGAACCTATTCCATATAGGAGAAGCTGGGACAATGCCATTGAAGTTAAGATGGAAGGTGTCTGAAGACTCATGGGGCAGATCATGGGGCAGAGGTGTGTTTTGTAGTACAGTGCTTGGCCTCCTGGCCATCTGCTGATGGGATGTGTGTGTGCCTATGTGTATTTACTGGAATGAAGCTAAAGCACGAAGACCCTAAAGGTAAAAGGTAAACTATGTCAAAGATTTAGTTGGTGTTTCATGTGTGGTAGACTTAATAAATAAAACTACTTTGTTGAACAATTTTTTTAATACAATATCTAGATATACATGGACAACCAAATAGGAAAATCCCACAAATTAATGTTTTAACAAATTACAAACTGTTGGTAAAGATTATATGCTTGGACTTAAAAGAAATAATCCAATAGATGAATAGTCTCTCATTAAATCTTGTAGATTAATCATCCACTCTTTGTATAAAACCAATATATCATAGTGGTAGAAATTTCTTTTATTAACACGCCACATAAAACCGTTTCCCTCAGCATTCCCTTCTCCATTTCTCATTAATTGTCTTTTAAGTGGGAAAATAAAATTGAATTTATATTAGCAAATGAAAGTGCAAGTTTGTACAGCTAGGCTCAGCAGCAAATGTGAAGAATGACGACAAGAAAGGAAAAGCTGATGGACACCACACAGACCAAGGACATCCACGAAGGTCCCACCCATCGTTCTTTCATTGCTCTGAAACGAGCAGAATGAAGCTCTTTTTTGATCTAAAGAAATATTAAATATTTATTTTCCCCACATCATTTATGATCACGTAAGGCAAAGAGAGAAGTCCCACCATCACTGGGGACGGCAGCAACATACAAACTTCAGACAGAGCCCTGCATCATCACAACATTCACAGCGGCAGCAGATGGAGTGTAACTACTAGAGCATACGTGCAGCGTTGTCCTGATTCTAATTTATTCATCTGGAAAAACAAAACCTTCATAAATACATTATTTAACAGGACAGCAAATTATTTTCTTGCTCTGAAAAACAAAAATGTTTTCACATTTTCAAACTTGTCAGTATAGTTCTGTAAGAGGAGTTCAAGAAGATCGAGGCAGCCGGGGCTGCAGGTTACTGTGTACAAGGTGTGTTTATAAGAGCCTGCTGGCCTGGCCATCTTCTGCCTCTACAAACAGCATTTGAAGTAACATTTAAACAAATAGGTTTGTTTAGACAACCCCCATTCACTCTACTTGGAGAGCAAAGAGGTACCTATTTTCAAGTATTACATTGTAAAAGGTATTTTTAATTTTCCCCAACTTCGTATGTTTAAAAATGAAAAGATCTGTGTGAAAAAAATCATGCTTTGTCAGTCCATTTATTTTATAGTCAAATGCTCTTTTTTTTTGTTGTTGTTAAAGAATGCAGAAAAATATTGATTTGCTAAGAAGGACACTGGAAAAGCCACCTCAAGGTGTCAGAGAAGGAGCATTTCTTTCTAGTGGCGGAAATGATTAGAAAAGCTGCCCAGTCTGTTGTCTTTAGCTGGCTTTAATAAGTCTTCAAAATGATGGTCAAGAAGTCTTTAGACAACTGGAGGGAGGTACTCTTGTGGAGCCTGAAGTTCCATTAACTACAAAACATTGGCTTTGGTTCTTCAGAGGAAATGTTCATATAACTTCTACAAGAGGAGACAGAAAACAGATTAATATGGTGTTATCCAAAATCTCATCTATAGAATACTATGGCCATATCTTATATTTTTAAAAGAAAATCACCCTGACTTTATATATAGTATCATGTATAGATATGCACAATTGTAGTGCTGGAAGTATAGCTTAGTGGGAAAGTACTTGCCTAGTGTGCATGAGGCTCTGGGTTCAATCCCGAGCACCACAAAACAACCAAATGTAAACAAAAATGGAAGAGTTTATTGGCGTTCATAAGCATATTTAAGTTAATGCCAGTAACTAGGAAAAATACATGCTCTTTCAATTCAGTTTAGGGAATATCACTGATTTAGAAACTCCATGCTTTGACAATTTAAATCCATAACCTCTCCTTTGTCTTGCATCCTCAGTGTTCAAAGCTTAGGGCTCCAAACTTCCATGGAGGATGAAGGAATGTTTCTTACTAAGCAGTCGCCCAAAGGAACGCTGTACACTCCAGATCAGAAACTAGACTACTTCCCAGGGAAAGATGGTAGAAGGCGGGCAAGCACTGGGAGTGGAATGGCAGACAGCTTAAAGGATGACTTAGAACACTCGAAGAGAAGCAGAAAACCAGGGGAAGCGTCTAATTCACAGAGAATCTGGGATGTGACATCAGGAGGCAGCCGCCACCATGTTTGTTACCCCCAATAGAACACTAAGTCTTCCGGTTCCGAAGGTTTAACAACTGCATGTGCAGACCACAGGGGCCGGACCATCATCTTCACAGCCTGGGTGGAGTTTATAAACCAATCCACACTATAGGAGGAAAGTTTCATTTGGGGACTGGCTCATCAGGGGCCTCTGCGCTTGTTAAGGTGTTACGGGTTCACAGGTAAAATGGTTTGATCCCAGTCCCCTCTATATCTGGAATTTGGCCAGTTCTCTTCATAAGAAACCCTGGTTTGTGAATGTGATCTGCTGGGAAGGCAGGTAGACAAAACCTAGGTTGGCTGAGATATAGATCTGGGCCTGTTCCCTGACACAGCTGGGACCACAGAGCCAGTAATGTTTGGTATTTCTTTTTATTTTGGTTGTCAGTATAGCTGTTGCTCTTATTGCACAAAGATCCCAGGTCAATTTGTCATGAAGACTAAGAGAGGCCAAGGCAAGCTCAGTAGTCATGAACAAGGAATGGACGACTCTCAGGCTCCATGAGATCCTGGCTTGGAGTGATGTTCTTACCACTGCTATCCTAACTGTATTGTGGTGTATTTTAAAAAGACAGTAGTAGCATATGAATCAAGGTTGCAAAACCCAAGTGAGAGAAAAATGGCAAGAAAACCCAAGGTAGTCTTCAAGTATTGATGAGCTGAGGAAGAGGGACAAAGCCCCAGTCTCATTTCCAGCGAAGCAGCTGGCCCAGTGGAGCATCGGTTACAGAAGAGTCTGTCTCAATGTGAAGCCTCACCGACGCTTGGCACCCAGTGCTGCTCAAAGGCTGGGATGCTCCTGGGTGCTGCAGACTGAATGGGTGGGTAGAAAGGGCCTAGAAGTGGCCAGAAGCAACTCAGAATTCAATGCCTATGATCCATGCACAGTCTTCTACAGTGGTTCACTTGTTCCCTCCAAGAATAAAACAACCATCTTGGATATCGGCTCTGATGATTACAGGAGGCGGTGGAAGGTTAGCTCACCTGCGGTCTGTTGTGTTTGCACACCGTCTACCTGAGGTAGGGGCCCAAGTGTCCCTTCATCATTAAAGGCCAAGATTGGTTTCAAAGGAATTTCTGGGTTCTCATCGGTGACATCTAATCTGGATGCTTTTGATCCAACAGGTAAGTTTATAATTTCTTCAAAATTTTCATTTTGAGCAGACATTCCATTTTCATTTGGCTCTTCTCCCAAAATCGGAGAACTAGGGGATGTGAAAAGTCCAAAACAGAATGAGTTAGAATGAAGCTTATTTTAGAACAAAAATTCGTTTAAAATAATTTTGTAACTGTGAAACGAAACAGGACCTCGGGAGGCCATAAGGATGGTTCAGCAGATGGAGGTGCTTGCTGCCATATGCCACAAGTCTACTAATCTGAGTTTGCTCCCCAGAATCCATAATAGGAAAGTTTGCTAGAACAGATCACTACCAAAGGTTATCAAGTCCTTCGTTTTTTTCTTCCTCCTCCTCCCCCTCTTCTTTTTTTAAGACAGGGTAATCTGGGAACTCATTACGTAGAGCAGGCTGGCCTCAAGCTCACAGAGATTCTCTGCCTCTGCCTGGGATTAAAGGTGTTCACCACTAAGCCTGGCTTTCAATTCTTAGAGATAAATTACATTTATGTATTTGTGTGTGGGCAGAGATCAGAGGACAACATGTGTGTCCTGAGGATGGAACTCAGGTCATCGGGGCTGGCGACAGTCACCTCTACCTGCTGAGCCATCTTGCTGGTCCCACACTTTTCAACTCTGTGTACTGGGCATGGTGGCAGATACCTATAGTCCTACACTCAGGGAGGCTCTCTGCAAACTGGAGGCCAGCCTGGTCTACATAGTGAGCTCTAGGCCAGCCAGGGTGAGAGCCTGCGCCCTATAAAATTCTCAGTGCTCAGTGGTGAGTCTGAATGGGGAAAGGAGGCAGCTGAGGAAGTGGCTCTGGGGCTTGACAAGAGCCCTGGCAAGGACGCAACACACTTGGAGGGATCTTTCTACATGGGCGATGAGAATGGAAATCAGTCTCATCATCTCTGTATATGTCTCTCTGTGTTTTGTTTGCTTTTTGAGACAGGGTTTCTCTGTATTACTTTGGAGCCTGTCCTGGAACTAGCTTTGTAGACCAGGCTGGCCTCGAACTCAACAGAGATCTGCCTGCCTCTGCCTCCTGAGTGCTGGGACTAAAGGTGTGCACCACCAAACCTTGAACTTTGGATATTTCTGCCTCAGTCTTCCAATGGCTGGGAATATAAGTGTGTGCCATTGTGCCCTGCTGCTTTGTTTTTATTTTTGTGTGTTCATTGTTGTCGAGACAGGGTCGTCACTCTATAGCCTAGGCTGTCCTCAAATTAGCAGAACCCAACTGCTTTAGTCCCTCCATGTTGGAAATCAACCATCATACCTGTTTTGTTTTTTTAAACAGTCTTGCTATGTAGTTCTGACAAGCCTCAAATCTGCAACAATCTCCTGCCTCAGTTTCCTTTTTAAATGCTAGTGTTACTGTACCCCATTTTCCAACATCAAAGATGCTGGCATTCAAAGCACTCTTAGTACGGGATGAATTGCCTCTCTCCCCTTCCCCTTCCTATCTTCTCCGCTGACCAATGCTTTGAGCTCTCTACATGTAGCTCAAGTTGGCCTTGCATTTTTATCTTCCTGCTTCAGCCTTCCAAGAAGCAGGGATTGCAAGCCTGCCCCAATAGTCACTCAAACCTCACCATCACAATTGAAGAAAAAAGTGATTTCCCTTTTCTTAGAGTTACAAGCTCTACAAAAAATTAGAGACAGATGAAAAATAAACTAAAAATAAAATCCCACCTGGGAGTGAAGACACTTGTGCTTCACACTAAATATGGTGATAAGAAAGGCCTCGGTTTGTAGCTCACCTCTCCGTGCTCACTTCTGGTTGCTCTAAGGTGACTCCGTGTGTGCTTTGTGCAGACTTCCCGTTTCCTGGAGAGTTCACACATGGTAGTGCAGATACCTCTGTCCACACCAAGGAGACAGACAGTTACTAATATCCTCTAATCAAATCCAACCCCTAGGAACCAGAACTTGGATATATGACATGACTCTACATCTTACTACCTGTGGGGCATTGGGTGGGTCATACCCTAATCCTTCCTGGGTAATGCTGCCTGCCTGGCTGGCTACTACGAGAACTAAATGTATCAACAGGGGCAAAGTTCTTACTGCTCAGCAGACTAAAAGGCAGAAATAAATGTTACTATTTTATTTTATTTTTTTTTTTTGTTGGCACTAGGTTAATTTTGGACACACACACACACACACACACACACACACACACACTTCACAAATGGAAGCCCATAGTGTGTTCTCCCTAACTTTGCCACCTAATTTGTGACTTAATGCTGGGGTCCAGCTTAAGGCAACATTATTGACACCTGACTCAAATCTAGGATGGGCTAAATTAAAGCCTTATAACCCTTGATAGCCTGTATCAATGACGACATTCTGCCACGGGCGTGGGTGAGGTGGGGTACTTGGGATGGCATGGGGCTGCAGATTCAGTTCTGAGCAAAGCAAAGCAAACCTGCAACAGGGCTGCAATGATGCCACTGCGCGTTCTCCAGACAAATACAGCGAGAGAGAGCATCATCAACTAAGCCCACGCTTGCGAGTTCTCCAGACAAATACAGCAAGAGAGAGAGCATCATCAATTAAGCACGCGCTTGTGCGTTCTCCAGACAAATACAGCAAGAGAGAGCATCATCAACTAAGCACGCGCTTGCGCGTTCTCCAGACAAATACAGCAAGAGAGAGCATCATCAACTAAGCACGCGCTTGTGCGTTCTCCAGACAAATACAGCAAGAGAGAGCATCATCAACTAAGCACGCGCTTGCGCATGTTCTCCAGACAAATACAGCAAGAGAGAGCATCATCAACTAAGCACGCGCTTGTGCGTTCTCCAGACAAATACAGCAAGAGAGAGCATCATCAACTAAGCACGCGCTTGTGCGTTCTCCAGACAAATACAGCAAGAGAGAGCATCATCAACTAAGCACGCGCTTGTGCGTTCTCCAGACAAATACAGCAAGAGAGAGCATCATCAACTAAGCACGCGCTTGCGCGTTCTCCAGACAAATACAGCAAGAGAGAGCATCATCAACTAAGCACGCGCTTGTGCGTTCTCCAGACAAATACAGCAAGAGAGAGCATCATCAACTAAGCACGCGCTCTCCAAGCTCTCAGCTATCCAATAGTCAGAGAAATGAAACCAACTTAACCAGACAGGAGTGTTAAAACTAAGGTTCTGGGATAGGGGGGCAGGGGAGGAGGGGAGGGAGAAGAACTGGGATTGACATGTAAAACAAGCTTGATTCTAATTTAAATAAAAAAAGAGCTAGAAATGATGTTTTTAGTACAATGTCTGATACACAATAAACAGTCAATAAGTAAAAAAAAAAAATCTTAATTTCCTCAATAATGGTTTGCTTGAGAAATAAAACCCACTAAGCTAAAAAATAAAATAAAACCAAACTAAGGTTCATTTCATTTTTATTTAAGCCATTATTTGTTTTAAAATCTCCAAGGAACATACAATAATCTACCCAAAGATCACAGAATATGAACAAGTTACAACGAACTTGTTTTGAAGTCAGGACTAAAAAAATGTTTAATTTTTCTTTCTGAAACTGGTCCTAAACACTAGTTACAAACGTGCATATTTAAGGTACGAATAGCTGTGGGTACACACAAACACACAGACACATGTACACAGACACACAGACACAACACATATATACAGATAGACACATACATGCACAGATAGACACACAGACATACACAAATCTGTAAAAGCTTTTGGAGCCCGTAGGGAGGAAATGAGTATAGACCCCACCCACTCTGATCCCCACCATTTCCCACAGACTTGAACTCACTGATAGAAACCCCACCCACTCTGATCCCCACCGTTTCCCACTGACTTGAGCTCACTGATAGAAATACCTGTTTCTCCAGTGAGAACTCCCTTGGTTATGTCACCATTTCTTTGTTCAGTGGTTTTCTAAAGAAAAAAAGGAGAAAACTCAATGTAAAAATTTAAAATTGATGTTCCCACTGGTATAGTGCTCCCTGGGTACCTGTAAGGACCTGGGTTTGATCTACAGGGGAATGGGGGTGTGGAAAGAAAGAAAGGGAGGGAAGGAGGGAGGGAGGGAGGAAGGAAGGAAGAAAAGGCAGGCAGGCAGGCCATATCAAGAACAGTTAAGCTAGCACAGCACAGGCCTGTAATCCCTGAACTTGGGAAGAGGCAGGAGATGTAGGATGTTCAAGGTCATGTTCAGTGAGGTCAGCCCGAGGAAAATGAGACCCTGCCTCACAGAACAGAAGACTGACTAGAAAAGGCCACACCAGCACCTTCTCTGCCGTCTCTGTCCTCCGGGTTCTCCTCATAATCTCTTCAAGTCGCTGCAAAAAACACAAGAGAGCAGATGAGATACAGAAAGCACGCTGGCCTGGCACATTCCAGCAATAAAATAAGTATCAAGCTATCAGTTAGGATTCAAAGAAAGTTCTTCATCCTAATTGGAGTTATTAATAGAGGATGGAGACATTTTAACTTTTGTGGCAAAAGTAACTACTCTGGGGAAGGCAGAGACTGGCAGCTGTCTTGGAAGTGTAGAGCATTTTGCTCCTGACCAAAGCTCCAGTCTCGTCTTCAGGCAACTTGAGATCCAGGAAGGAAGGGAGCCTTAATGACCCATGCTTCTGCCCCAGCCTACCTTCTTCCTCTCCAGGCGTTCCTGCTCTTCTCTCTGGAAATGCTTCTCTCGCTCCTGTCGGGCCCTCTCCGCCTCCTTCCTGGCTCGGGCTTCTTCTTCTTTCTGAAAACAAGAGTCACTGACTGCTGCTGCTTATCCCTAGTCCCCTAGTCTGGGCCTCTTCCAAACCAGCTCCGCACACTGTCAGGCAGAGGCATGGCACTGACGGGTGAAGGCTGTGATGGTGTGCAATACCTTCATCTGTTTTTTTTCTTTTTTCTTCAAGACAGGGCTTCTTTGTAGCTTTGGAGCCTGTCTTGCAACTCACTCAGTAGACCAGGCTGGCCTCAAAACTCAGAGATCTGCCTGCCTCTGCCTCCCGAGTGCTGGAACTAAAGGTGTGCGCCACCAACGCCCTGCTACCTTCCTCATCTTGGAGGTGTCCCGTCCCCCACTTTGGGGCTGCCTCGCACCTGCTTCTGCACGCGCTCCATCTCCTCCCTCTCCCACCGCTCCCGCTCCTCCTCAGCCAGGCGCAATGCCAGCTCTTCTTTCTCTCGCGCCTGCTCGGCTTCCAGCCTGCGGGATTCTTCTTCCCGTCGACTCCGCTCTTCAGCCACCCTTCGAGCCAATTCCTCTATCTTTTGTCTGGGAAAAGACAAGAATGAAGGCGCACAAAGACACTTCTTTGAAGAGAGGCCGCGTATGGCAGGGGCAGTAGTTCAAATGTCTGGAGGGAAACTCCCACTTTGGGTACATTCTACCATGACTATGGATCAACTCTGGTCCTCTTCCTTCTCCAGCTTCATTTCCCTCAGAAGTGGCACACAGCCATTGCCATTTGGGTGACTACTTGTTTTTTTTTTCAGAGGGTCTACAACTCATCTTTAAATGGGGGAGACTTGAATACTTGAACATAGGTGATTTTTAGTAATAACCAGAGTCCCCACACCACAAGAAATCCTAATTCAAAAAAAAAAAAAAATTACACATGCCTGGAGCCTGCAGCAGACACCTGATGCCCTAGAACTAGAATTCAGATGGTTGTGAGGCATCATGTGGTTGCTGGAAGCCCAACCCAGGTCCTCTGGAAGAGCAGCCAGTGCTCTTAACTGAGTGGCCATCACTCCTGACCCGAGGAGATCCCTTAAACTGAGATAATATTTTGTGCCAGGTCAGTATGAAGACAGGCCATGGAAACTTCCAATGGAACAAAGGGTAGGCACAGCCAATAGGGTGGCCCCTCACCAGCATTGAGGTCCTCCCCAGCTGTCAAGAACAATTGCTGACATAAGCCTTACAGGCCCTGGAAGGTGTCCAGTTAAACAGACCATCAGAGTTAGCTCTAACTATCAAGTTGACATAGTCTGAAGACCTGCCTGGTTAACTGAGTAAAAACTGACCAGATCAGACTGGAATGTGCTATGTAGCAGAGCCCAGTCCACTTCTGGCAGTAGTGCATATGGAGGCTAGTAATACCCAAGTATGTGAACGAGCCAGAGAGCAGCATGCCTCTGTCCACAGCGCTGCATATGAATGTTAGCAAAGCGTGTGAAGTGTAAACCAAATGGGCTGTTTCCTCCTCTAAGTTGCTTCAGCTCGGACTGTTTTATCACAGCAACAGAATGAAACTAGAACACTGTCCCTGGCTGTGGTAGTCTGAATAAGAATGGCCCCATAGGCTCATATGTTTGAATGCTTCATCCTCAGGGATATGGAGGATGTGCATCACTGGGGGAGGGGGAGGCTTTGGGTTTCAAAAGCCTAAGCCAGGCCCAGTGTCTCTGTCTCTTCTTGCTGCCTATGGGTCTAGATGTAGAACTCTCATCTACGCTAGCGCCATGTCTGACTTGTGTATTGCTATGAGGATGGAAATTTCTAAACTGTAAGCCACCCCAATTAAATATTTTCCTTTATAGAAGTTGCTGTGGTCATAGTGTCTCTTCACAGTAGTAAAACACTGACTAAGACAGAAGTTGGTACCAGGATTGGAGAGCAGGGTATGCAGACATATTCCAGGGGTAAAGAGTAAGTTTTTGGACCTGGCCCCTCCCACCACCAAGAAAGATGCACATTTAGTGGGCATATTTGTATTCTGGAGAAAGCACATTCCCCACTTGGGTTTGTACTCTGGGCCATACACCAAGTGACTGGGAAACCTGCTAGCTTTGTGTGGGGCCTGGAATAGAAGGCTCAACAGGCCCAGGCTGCTCCACCACTTGGACCATATGGTCCAGCAGACCCAATGGTAGTTGAGGTTGACAAGTGGCAGACAGGGGTGCTGCTTGCAGCATTTTGCAAGACCCTATAGGTGAGTCACAGAAGACACCTTTGGGATTTTGGAGCAAGACTCTACCAATTTCTGCAGACAACTATTCCTTTTTTGAAAGATAGCTCTTGGACTGCTATTGTGCCTTAGTGGAAACTGAACATTTGACAATGGACCACCAAGTTACCATGTGACCTGAGCTGTCTACCACGAGATGGATGTTATCAGATCTACTAAGTCATAACATAGGATGTGCACAGCAGCAATCAGCAATCTGTTATCAGGTGGGAGTGGTTTATACATGCCTCAGCAGGTTCTGAAGACACACGAAGTTTCTATTCCTGTTACAATGCTTATGGATCTGTAAATGTATCTGCCAGGACATGTATCTGCCAGCACATACATTTTCCAAGCATTCAGAGAACAGAGAGAGCTACTTAAAATATATGCAATTACTTGAATCAGATACAACACCCTTTCTACCCTTTAAACCTTTGCTTATCTGTGTTGGTTGGTATGCTGCTATTCAGAAGAAAAGTTGATTTTAAAAATAGTTGTGGGGAAGTAGCTCAGTTGATAGAGTGTTTGCCTAGCATAGAAAAAACCCCAGGTTCGAAACCCAGAATGAAATAAACCAGGCATGGCACATGACTGTAGCATCAGCACTCTGGAGAGGGAGCAGGAGGTCAGTTGTATTGCTGGCTATAGTGCAAGTGTGGGGCACTTGCAACCTTTACCTCTCCAGCTCTTCCTTCTCCCTCCTCTCCCTTTCTTCCTTCTCTCTTTGCTCTCTGGCTAGGCGCCTCTTCTCAGCCAGCAGCCTCGTAGCCTCTTCTGGGTCAGTGGTGCCCGCAGAGGCCTTAGGAACAACACTGACAGCCACAGTTGCTGGTGTTGAGACCGGGGCTGGGTCTGTAGCTGGAGCAGGGGCTGGGCTTGGAACAGGGGTCGAGACTGGAACAGCTGTACAAATAGGTACAAGGAGAAGAGCAAGTGAGGCTAAAAGCAAGGAACAAAACAAGACCTGGCATTCCCCATGCCCCCAGGCCTGGGATTCATCACTCTCAAAGAAAAGGGAACGTCTACCACTGTGTGTTCTCACGGTTTCCCTGCCTTCGTTCTATCTGTAGCCAAGCAACTGATGACAAAAACTGCATGTCTAAGTGAGACATCCGACGAAGCTCACGCTCGGTCACCAAGTCTTATTTTTATAGCGGTTAAGTCAGTTAACAACATCTACCAAATGTGTCCTGGGAGCCTTGTGTTAGCTTCTGTGGGAAGCTCTACTCTGAGCAAAATGAAGACGAGAGTCCATTTGCCTTTTATCAATTCCCAAGTATCCCTATGCTTTGGTGACTGTTACCAGAGTACAAAAGCCTTTCAGTGAGCATTCTTAGCACCTAGGTCACATGTCTAGGACTCAGGCTAGGCAGGTGACACCCTGTGAAGATGCTCCTTTTATTTGTAAAAAAAAAAAAAATTTTTTTTTGACATAGGGTTTTTGTGTAGTCAGGGACAGCCTAGAGTAGCATCCAATTCATTTAATTCCTGCTTCAGTCACCTGACCATTGGTATCACATAACTGGTATGCACCATTATATTATACTAAGAGTTCTCTTTTTGGTCAGGTGTGGTGGTGCATACTTTTTTTTTTGTTTGTTTGTTTGTTTGGCTTTTTGACACAGGGTTTCTCTGTGTAGATTTGGAGACTGTCCTAGAACTTGCTTTGTAGACCAGGCTAGCCTTGAACTCACAGAGATTCACCTGCCCTTGCCTCCCGAGTGCTGGGACTAAAGGTGTGTGCCACCTTTAGTATCGGTGATGGATACATTTAATCTCAATACTTGAGAGACAGCCAGGGATGCACAGTGAGACTTTGTTTCGAAGACTCTACCCAGAGCTAGCTTGAGACCCCAGACACAGGGATGCAACAGCCTTGTCAGGGCAGGCACACTAGCTGCCCACATACACATCTGGCCCCAGGAGTGTCTGGGGCAGAAGTTCTTCACTGTGTTTAGATTCAGGAAGATGGCTGAGGATGCTACTTGAGCGGGCCTTGTCATGACTGTACATGACAGCCTGACACCAGGGCGTCATGCTTGGGCACCTGAGACTTCATCATCCCTCCCCCACCCCTGCTTTTCAGGCTTACAGTTCTACTCAATCTCTCCCTCTTTCTGCCCTTGGGATTGAACACTCAGCCTCACACATGGTAAGCAAGCACTCTCACTGAGCTCCACACCCAGCCCTTTGTATACTTTTTATTTTAGTCTCATTAAATTGCTCAGTTTGAATTTGAGGCCACGGTTCAGCTCAGACAGCCCTGAACTTGAGACGCTTGTGCTCCAGTCCCCACACAGCTGGGACTACTAATAAGAAACGGGTCCAGTCCTTTCATTAGCGTTTTGCTGTTTGGGGTCCTCATCTTCTGCTTCAGGATGAAGCTAGCACTGGGTGTCTCTTCCACTCTAAGACTTCAACTTGTTCGGGTTCCCATCCTTACACCTCAGATTGTATTTTATATAAAAATATTTCAACAAAAAATATTGAATTCCTAGTTCTAGGTGACTCCACATTTCTGAACAACACTGAGTTATCTCAGAGAAGACAACCCTCAGTCCTCCTGATCTCTGTTGGACAATTTGGCCCTTCACCTCATATTCTGATCCAGTAGGCCAGGGACTTGTAGTTTGAAAAATCCTGGAGAAATAGTTTAAAAATACTTTTTAGAAGTCCTTTGAAAAAATTTTTAAAAAAAATACTGAGTAGACTGGGGAAGTAGTTCTGAGGTTTGCCTGGCAATGCCAGAGTCAAACACCTAGGACCTCATAAAACCAGTCCTAGTGTCATATTCCTGAAATCCTAGCAATGTGGGAGGTAGAAACAGAAGGGTACGAAGTTCAAGGCCAGGCTGGAGAGACGCTTAGTGATTAAGAGCACTAGCTGCTCTTGCAGAGGACTAAGGTTCAATTCCCAGCACCCCATGGTGACTCACAATCACCTGTAACTAAAGTTCCAGGGGATCCGACACTCTCTTCTGACCCCCACAGGCACCAGGCACACATGTGGCAGACAGATATATATACAGGCAACACACACACACACACACACACACACACACACACACACACACAGTTAACAAGGTCATCTTGGCCACACAGTGACGTCACAATACAGAGTGGTAGAGGAGAGAGGGGGAGAGAAGAGAGAGCAGACAGAGAAGGAGAAGGAGAGAAGAGATAATGAGAATATGAAGTACAAACCAGCAAGAAAGGGTTAAATAAAACGATGTCTGAAAAGGGCAAACCCAGAGAACACTAGCTACCCCACTCCCCAGCACCCGTCTCACCAGGGTCAGCTGGCTCTGCGAGCGTCCCCTCTTCAACTGTGACTTCCTCTACCTTCACCAAGGGTGCTCTGCCCTTTACCAAGGGCTCATTGGCAAGCTTCTTCTCCGGGTCTTTTTTCTCAGGCTCCATTTTGACCTCTCTCTTGACAGGGCGGATGTTGCCATGGGATGATGGGTGGGTCTGAGAGGAAGCAGCTTTGACTGAGCCAGGAGGCAAGGAGGATGCTGGCCGGGGAGTGCCAGGCAAATGAGGCATAGACTTGGATGGAAGCCTGGGCAACAAATGACAAGGATAATGGGCGTGTCAGCATTGGCTTACCAGAACCCAGGACACCTGCAAGTGGAAAACCAGGCAGATGTTTCGATATGAGTGTTTTTCTGTATGTGGTAAAGTAAAGAGGAGTCCCTGAAGAGGCCCACTGCAAAGCTGTTTTCCTTTCACTCACAGGAAGCTTCTTATTCCTCAAGTCAAAGGCAAACGATGTGAGCGCAGCAGACACTGGGGACGAAGCTAAGTCTCCAATGTGGACCCCCACCAGCATCCTCCATCCCACTCACCAAGGATGAAGCTAAGTCTCCAATGTGGACCCCCACAAGCCTCCTCCATCCCACTCATCAAGGACGAAGCTAGATCTCCAATGTGGACCCCCACAAGCCTCCTCCATCCCACTCATCAAGGACGAAGCTAGATCTCCAATGTGGACCCCCACCAGCATCCTCCATCCCACTCACCAAAGGCGGGCTGGAGCTGGAGCTGGTGATCTTGCTTTGGGATTAGATGGGGACAAAGTCCTTCGGAAGCCAGAGGAAAACTGGAAGGGCAGGTGTTCTTTTTCACGCTCTCTTTTATGGTTCTGGGTTCAGAGAAACTCAGTAATTAAAATTTTCTGAGTGACATAATCATATTCAATGATATCCAAGAATAAGCTACAAACCATCCAGTGTTTTAAAGAATTTATTTAAGACAAATTTATAAACCATGTTGTCACATGCGTGCGCGTGCACACACACACACTTCACTGCAGGAAAAGACCCCCCCCCCCCGTTAGCTCATAACTGAACAATATAATTGAATTAACACAGATGACATGAATAAAGTAGATCTAGATGGATGATTTGGATTGTTTTTGTCAAAAAGGAAGGGGTTGGAAGGAGTAAAGGGAAGAGGGAAATGATGTAATTACATTATAATTTCAAAAGAAAGAGAAAATAGATAAATAAATAAATAAACCATAAACTTTGAAAAAGCACCTATACTCTGTCTAAAATTACCTGGAGTGAATTTATCTTGTCTCTCACATATGTTAAAATGGAAGTCATTTCTTTTGTTGTAAATTTTGTAATTTTTCTTTTTGCCATACTGGGGATTGAACTCCAGGTTTCATGCATGCAAGGCAAGTGCTCTACCACTGAACCACATTGCCAGCCCCATTAAAAGAGAAATCTTTAAGTACATCATCTACTTTTTTATTCTTTATCAGTTTTCATCTTTTACTCTGGAAAATATTATTGCTTAGTTGTTTAAAAAAAAGTTTATGCTGGGCAATGGTAGCACACTCCTTTGATCCCAGCATGGGTTGGGGGGAGGCAGATCTCTGTGAGTTCAAGGCCAGCTTGGTCTACAGAGTGAAGATCCAGGACATCCAAAACTTTTTATAGAGAAACCTTGTCTTGGAAAACAAACAAACAATTTTACATGTCTGTTATTCCAGTTACATGTTTGGTTCCCTTTTATTTGGCTATTGTAGACAAGGTCTTATAAAAGGCTGCCAGTCTCCCCAAGGCTAGGGTGAGGGAGTTTAGGCTACTCTTTCCTACGAAGGGATCTAACAGTGAACTGACATAAGAGCCCTCCCCGATAGCCAACTAGGAACTCAGCCAGAGATCTGGTCTACCATACAAAGAGAAGCCTGGAACAGTGTTCTAAAGTTAACATGAAAGAGGTGGGGGGGGGCAACAGAAGGGAAGGGGAAGGCTGACAAGTGTTTGAAGAATCCCAAGCTGAGGGGGGAGAGGATGGAGGAGGCAGGGAACAAAGAAGGGGGGGGGGACCTGAAGGATCTGAGGCTGTGACCTGTTATGGGTGGCAGGGAGGCAGGCTGGGCACCTCTGTGGGAAAGTCAGTGCAAGGGGACAAGGGACTGTGCAGATGTCACCTAGCCAGGAACTGCTAGTGTGCCTCTGTTCTTTTTCTACAAGAAACAGACACAATGCTCCTCTTCCTCCCCTTTGTGTGCCTTCTAATTGCTTCACCTGTCTTCCCGAGTAGCTCACTGACTGGGCTGCAAGTAGAGGAGACATTTAATGTCTCCACTGTTTCTGTTGAGTTCCTACCATAGAAGAACTGAAGGCAACAGGGACCTTCCCCCATGGGGTGGGGGCCAGTTCTATACCTTTCCAGTTGCATGGCCACCCTCTGTCCCATCTTGGAATTCCCAAAGACCACACACACAAAGGCACTCCTGGATTTCATCCTGGTGTGGGTCTCTACAATCATCTTTCCTCTGAACCCTCTCCATAATGCTGAGAACACACATAAGCCAATCAAGTCAACTTTCTGATGGCCAACTTTGTACTATCTGAAAAAGAACAAACTGTAGCTCTCATATTTCCTGATTTTAAAGTATATTTCAGAGCGATAATAGTTAAAACAGTATGCCTCTAGGATATATAAGCAGGCTTGTAGATCAATAGAATAGAATAAAGAGTCTAGAAACTGTAGAGCCCAGGACCAATCAACAGGAAAGAACAGTCTTCAGCAAATGGCACCAAAGTAGTCATATGGTCACAGGAAAAACAATGAGACTGGACCTTTCCTTTATACAACATACACATTGAACTGAAAATGGATTAAAGATGCAAATATGAGTCTTAAACCTGTAAAAAGAGGCTAATATTTAGAAGTGTTTCACATTATGGAATTGGTTACTAATTTATGGACCCAAGGCACAAGCAACAATACTAAAATGGACAAATGAACATCAAAAAAATTTTCTATAGGTCAAAAGGCACAAAAGATTGAATAGGTAAGCCATGCTACAGAAGAATACATCCTCAGAGCCCATTTGATCTGGAGTCATTATCTAGAATAAATAGATAATTCCCACAATGCAACAATTCATTTTCAGATTTCAAATGGGCTTGGGCTGGTGACTGACTTAGTGGCAAAGCAATACCTTATGTATGCAAGGCCCTGAGTTGAATCATCAGCAACACAGTAAGTATCTCCCTAAATGCATATGCCAACTGCCAATACGTCTATGAAAAATGTGCCATGCTACTCTTCATTAGAGATGCAAATCAACATCATAATGGGAGGTCACTCACATAGACTAGATTAGATATTATACAAACAAAAACAGGAAATAGCAAGTACTGGCAAAGATGTGGAGAACCTGGTACCCTTGTGAGTGACTGGTAGGAATGTAAAATGATAGTCACTATGCCAAACAGTATGGTGCTTCTTCAAAAACTAATATAGAATCGACATGATTCTACAACTCTAGTCTTGGTGTGTGTATGTGTGCACATGTGTGCTGTGCCTACCCGTGTATGAAGTCAGGGGCTGATGCCTTCTTTCAAGCCACCTTACATTTTGAGATAGGGTCTGTTACTGAACTTGGAGCTTGCCATTTCGATTAGACTGGCTAGCCAGTGAGGCTGTGGATCTGATACCCATGTCTATACCTCAATGCTTTGTATAGAGTTGTAAGACCTCACTTGTCTTTTATGTTGGTGTCTGAACTCAGGTCCTCATACTGGCACAAGCAGCACTTTACACACTGAGCTAAATCCAAGCTCATGCACCAACACTCATAAAAATTTAAATATTCAGTTCATTTACATCACTAGCTACTTTCCAAAACATTCAATATAGCTAATCAGTACTAGATTCCACAGTATAGATGTAGAAGTCATTTTTCTGACAATATTATTCTCCTAAATATTCGATCATAAGGCAGTGAAAATTCTAATTGATCACACACAGACAGGAAGGCATTAACAGACATAACCAGCAAGGTTCTAGAGAAGACAGACGTTCATTCTGTTAGTCACAATCAGCCTTCTACCTTACTTTCTGAAAGCGCTGTGACTCTTGTCCTTCTGGGAATAAGCACCCCAACTGTCCCTCGCTGTCACTCTTTGTCTACAGCTGGGATCACCACAGCATCAGGGAGCTAATGAAGTGATACTTCACAGATGCCAAAAGCAGCTCACCTTTGGCTACAGGGCTGAAGCCAGTCTCAGATATGAATCAAACCCTGATGCCTGAAGGGGCTCAAGAGGAACTCTCCAGTAGGCAGAATCATCAAGTTCTCACAGCTCTCAAATCCACTTCTAAGCAAACCTTTTAAAGATTAGAATTGCTCTGTCTGGCAAGGTTTTTTTTTTTTTTTTTTTTTTTTTTTTTTTTTTTTTTTTAAGATTCTAACCTTTCATGACAAGGGTCATACTATTATCCTTCCAGGCAGGCAATGACATGTGGATTGGGGACTCATTATGACTGAAGCCCAGGTCCAAAGAGAACAATGTCTGTATCTTCCAATCACAGCAGTAAGCACACAGTTTAAATGAAGATGTGGGCGGATTCCTAGAGATACTCAAATAACTGCACTTCCTTTATAGCAGGATCAGTCATAAATGTGTCCAGTTACCCTGTCAGGAGTAACAAGTACACATACGATCTGTCTTTCACTTTAAAAACCTGGAGTGTAGAGCTCTATAGCCTTCCAACAGGGGCCTACTGAGTGAGGCATGTTTCCAAACATTCTCTTCCCTGTATTTTAAGATACGGGCTTTGACATCCATATCTGGTTCAGAGTGAGCTGAGTCAGCTTCTGGAAATGGTTGGGATAAATGCAGCAGGCCAGGCCTACTTCCCTGCAAAGGCAACTTGGCGTCTGACTTTTCAGAAAGTATTCTAACCGCTTGTTTACATCAATGGCCCAGCAGAATGCACTTGCCACTCATTTGTACTTGTGCAAAGAACAGTTTCATCCTCAAATTTAAATGTTTAGGGAGAAACAAAAATCCCTAAGTGGAGAGGGGGGCGGGAGCACCAGCTGGATTTACAATGGGTGGATGGTGTGTCAGTCATCTGATCTTGTTCCCAGGGTACACTCCTCACAGGGACACCAGCTTCTGCACTGCTACTCACCGCCATGCCATGAATGGTCCTCCTCCGCGCAGAGCCCTCAGGCGGTGTTACAAAGAGTTTTGGTCGGTCCACTGGATTTCTAGAGTGTGCAGCTTTGAAGGGCATGATGATGGGGCTGCAAGATGCTGAACGAGGACAAATGGGGATGACTAGAGTGCAGTGATTGGTTTTACACACAAGAGTGCCAGAGGAGCAGGTGAAGAAAGCCAGAGGCAGGGTCAGCAGAAGGAGCAGAGCAGAGAGAAAAGTAGAGAGCTGTTACTACCTAAAGGCACCTGGCCCCGTGTTCCCCAGCTCTCCCTAACCCTGCGCGCCGAGAGACCTGCTGTATCATGCTACTTGTCTGTTTCAGTTATGACTAAAGATTCAGAAACAATCCAACATTTGTGGACAACAGCAGCCTTGCACGACTACAAACCCTGTATGAGTGACCCCGTTTTTATATGAACACTGGTTTGTGAACAGATCTTTCCTAGTTATAACGGAAATGGAGCAAAAAGTGGAACCAGGATCTTGTAAACAGGAAGTAAGGTCTATAACTGTTTCAAGAGCCAAATTCTGGGGCAGTGGGGGGAAAGCGATAGAGATTCAAAACGGCAGCTGACCAAGTCTCACCAGGTTTAGACTTGTTATGGGGACAGCTAATAATAGCCAGAATAGAACGGATTTATTCATTTAAAGGCAAGCTGATACATACTACTAGCCTGCAGCCCAAATCAAGGCATAGAAAATAAAGGGAGAACATTAGCCTTAGGATTGTCACCACTGTGGCTGAATCATGGGTAGCAGTTACAGTTTTACCAAGGACAGAACTTTTATTTATTTATTTATTTTTATTTTTTTTTGAAAAAAGGCAGTTTGACCACTCTCTTCCTTTCTTCTTTCTTCCTTTCTCTCTTTTATTAATTTACCAATCCAAGTTCCCCCTCCCTCAATCACTCACTTTCAAAGGAACTGTGCAACAATAGGTTTAAGGAAATGTATTTAACATTGTGCAGGTGCCAGAAATTTTCAGATTTCATTAAAAAAAAAAAAAAATCTTGTTTTCCACCCAAAATATGGTTACTGAGGATAATGCCATGTACTGAAGTCAGGTTATAAAATTACTTTATGCAACCCTAGTTCCTGTACCGGTTTTTAACTTTTAGAGACAAGGGCTCACTGTGTATTTGCACTTCCCAGGCTGACTATGAACTGTGTCAATTCCTGTGGCGGAGTGATGGGGTTACAAATGTGCGGTTCTGGGGATGGAACCTACGACCTCCACTGAGTGGAACTCCAGCTCTAAAGGGAATCTTTCCCATTAAAACCTCTCGTCACACACCTCCCGGGATCTTCTCTAACACCGAATGGTGAAGGCAGTGGATGGATTAGGATGGGAGCTGCATGCACTTCTGTATCTGAACAAAACATAAGCCCACCTTTATTACAATCATTTGAATTATGGCTATTTCCTTAGTTCTATCAGAACATGGGAATGGACACAAAGGTCTGCTTCTGACCTTTAATGGTAAGGGGTACATTTGTACTTTGAGGTAGAAAGCCTCTTGTCTTTGCTTGTGGTGACCCCAAGGGAAAGTACTGGAAAAAAAACTTTGTTTCTTTAAGTGCCACAAAGCACTTTCATTTCCCAGACAAGGAAGGGTCCATTAATGCAAAGCTTTTCCAGGTCAATCAAATACACTGCAGAAACCATGTCCTGCATGAGGCACCCAGGGACTAATGATCAGGGGGAGAGGTACCCAGTGCCCATGCAAAGCCAGAGGTCATTAGTCTTGCCCAAAGGTCAAGAACCCCTGGAGAATGGGCCTGCTCTGAGGTCAAGGCTGACACCAAAACATAACAGAACAAAAACTTGACTTCATTTTCTTGTAAAGTGAACAATTTCATGAATGGTTGTTGAGGCCATCCTAGATACAATCTAATTTCATCATGCTTATTCTTTATTGTAGAGTTGAAAAAGCCTTAAATGGAGGTAGGAAATATTCCCTTCTTATTATGCGGCCCTGGCTATCTTGGAGTTTGCAATGTAGACCAGGCTGGCCTCAAATTCAAAGAGATCCACCTGTCCCTGCCTCCTGAGTGTATCATCATATGTGTCTTGAGAATACCCTTAAGTGCACTACCTGTGGTGTTCTAGTTAAAATTCTTCAACCTTAATTATTCAAGAAATACTTTCTGGCCAAAATAAAGACTAAAAATTCCAAGGGGATTAAATTCTGAACATCTACCACTGAAAAGCTGAAACCTGCAAACTGAATAATCTCATTCTTCTGAAGAAAACAAGAGTAATACATACTTCCTACCCCCGTACGCTTCATGTCCTGTATCATTTGATTAAAGAGGATGTACCTGCCTTGAGAAAGTCTTCCACTACTCCTGGAAGTCAAGAGTACATTGACCTAACCCATCAAGCTCTTCAGCAGGAATCAGTAAGCACAGGACAAGGCCGTGTAGCTCAAGGGGCTGGGAACCAGAGCATGGAAAACCCACAAAGTAGGATGATGATGTCATTAAAACCTACCATGGACATCTAGAGAGATCTGATTTGCTTAATCCTGACTTCTATCGATCAGGAACATATTTTGCTGGTTCTGGAAAACCATAGGCTTTGGAAAAATCAACCCAAAGATGGAATTTCCAACACCCAGGAGCTTTACTGCTTGCTCAGGGTCATGGGGTGTGGGAAGGGGGAGGGGTCCTGCAAGCTCTAAATACCTTAAGGGACAAGGGTAGTGGTCTTAATCTGCTACTGTGATTCTGGATATGGATATAGGTCTTCTGCAATGGCAATTGGGAATAAGATGAAGTAAGAACGGACACTAAAATGGAAAGAAAATAATCAGGAAAGTGTAAGGAAAATAAAGATGACAGCATATGTCTTTGAAAAGACAACTAGAAGACATATGTTTACACACATACTTCCAAATGGAAATCTTCATAAAAACCAGCTTTTATCTCATGACATATAAGCTGTCATCAATGCAATAGGCAATAATAACCTAGAGAATGTACCAGTAGATAGCAAACTCAAAGTTTATGTTCCGTTTCTCACTAAAATCAATTACTGAAATGTAGCAATCAATTAAAAAAAAAAAAGAAAGAATAGAGAAGTCAGAGAATAAGGAGCCAATCTACAGATGAAAGGCACCCCAGCTAAGCACAACAAAGGAAGGAAGGGGACAGGTAGGGAAGTAAAGAGTGGAAATGAAATGGTGTAGGAGAGAATGGGAAGGAGTGAAAGGATGGCCAAGAGCCAGTGCTGACAGAAACCGCAGAGAAAGACACATTTCCAGCTTTGGAACAAGATAACACACAACATGGATTCAGGAGTGTGATGGCCACACACCATGGAGTGTCCACAGAAGAAGATGAACAAAACAGCCTGGAAGATTCAACAGGTTGAGGGCTGCTTTCATCACTTGCACAGGGGTATGAAACTCACAGCATAAAATAGACCATCTCGAGATGCCACGCTTTTTCCTGTGGAAAACCCCAGATGGAGTGTGAGTGCGGAGAGGGGGAGGCCAACATCCTGAAGGTTCTCCAATAGGCCCGGAGAGGCACTCCAGCCAGATCTGTGTTCTTGACTGACTCACACAGGATGGTGAGAAGTAGAGTTGACACTTGTTAGCTCACTGGGTACTACAGATGAGAGTCACCATGAAATCACCAAGAGCTTTGTTTGTGCAGCAGACTGATTCCAATGAATAAACAAAGCACTGTTTAAGGGAGCTTCTCAGAGAGGGTGTGCAATTTCCTAAGAGCAAAGGATGAGGGGTTGCTAGGCTGGTTCCACAGACATGCCAACTGTGCCCAGAGTGAGCTGGGAAATCTAAAGCCATCACCAGGACAGAGATGTTACTCAAAGCCTACATGGATGGTTCTTACCAACTGGATACATCACACTCCCTTTTCATTTACTTCGTTGGGTCATTCCAGCCTGTTCTGCATTGTGAAAAGTTTTAATGTAACAGCCAGGATTAGGTATATTCCGTATTGTTTTCAGTGAATGACACAAGTAAGTGCATTCAATTAGCTTTCTCAGCTCTCAGGGCTTAGAAGGCAGCTCCTAGGTTATGTACACAAACCTGGCACAGGATGTATTAAGAAGCTTCGCGCTTAACTTGGGGGCGTGTTCTGATTTGTTTCCAAGCCTGCATAGTAATATTAAACATTAAATTGTGTCTACCATCCTTGGTCATCCGTTGGGACACAGGGGCAGAAAAGTAGGTAAATGATCCTTTTTTTTTCTGCTGATCTTATGAATAGATGGGGGCCATGTGATCACAGTGAGGGGTGTCATTGGCCTGCCTGGCGTCCAGAGTCCAGAAAAGAAGGTGCAGCGGATGCAAAGAGCGAACAATGCCAAGAACACAGAGCCAACACCAATAGAGGAGCACACACCGGGGTGAATGGAGTGGGCTTAGAAGAACGTGGGAAGAGATAGGCTTCGAAAGGAAGACTTTACTTCACCAGAAAGTTGCGCCTGGTTGACTTTACCTGTGTCTCCAGACAAGGCAGCAGTGCTTTTACTTCTGGCCAGGAAGGAATGTGTGGGCGTCAACAGTCTGTTTACAACGCTGCTCTCCCAGGGGCTGAGCTGCAGGCGACGAGCTAAATGTCACCACATAAGCAAGAAGTTAGGAACACTGTTTGCTGGGCCAAGAGTGCAGAGCATCATGCCTAATACATAGCCTGGACCTTTGAGACGGCCCAGGCTCTCCAGGGAGGACATGGCGGCCATGAGTTAGGACAACAGGATCCCCACCCAAGAGGAGCAGTTATTCCTTTCCTCAACACGTACAGCTGCTCTAAAGGGGCAGCTGGGATGGATTTTGCTAGTCATCCTTGTTAAACAGGTCTTGAAATGAAAAAAAAAAAAAACATTTCAACTACAGATCTGCTACTATCAGAGACTCATACCGATAGAATGAGTGTACCTTTCTGATGGGCATCATGATGGGCAGTACACTGATGGTACCCATCTCTGACACGGGGCTTCCTGTACATCTTAATAATCAGCCTCATTAGGGCTGGCACACAGATTTACATAAAGGACCTTATGATGGATTGCCCCATTGTTAGGGCAACTGGAAGGAGGTGAGCTATACTAAAGTGAAAGAAGGCTTGTGCTAAGGTCTGTGTGGGCTCATTTGACCTTTCCTCCCAGCAAGCCGGGCTCTTGCAGGTCCTAGTTTGGCACAATACAAAACTTTCGACTGAGGATCAAGGCTAAAGCTGAAGGAAGACAAAGTTAAGCAGAAATGGCAAAGCGCAAATTAATTATACAACCGAAATTATCAGTGACGTCTGAAGAATTTAGAAAACAAACTTAAAACAACACAATGATGTGTGGGCCCCACACTACCCAGATTGGCAAAGCCATGGTTAGGAAGTGCGTGCCAATTATGAATTTGTTTACATTGTTAGCATCTAGTGATGGTGCACCAAAACACTGAAGGCATGTTCCCGAGCTGCCAGAGAAGAAGCTCGGAAGTTCCTACAGAAGCCACTGCAATAAAAAGGCCACACACTCTTCTAGAATGCCTTCCTGTGTCACTCATGAGTCTTTATATACCATTTCTTAGGGGAACAACACCTCAAACCATACTGCTACACCGAAAAGAGTTGCTTCTGTGCAGAGAGAACCAATTCCAGGAAGTCCTTTAGTGACATGACTTTATTTTAGGACTGACTTTTCTGGTCAAAGCTTGAGTTAATTTAAGAACCAGTGACGTTTCCATTAGATTATCTGTTTATTAGGAGAGTCGCTATGGTTAAACTATTATTATTATTATATTATTATTATTTTGTGTGTGACAAGGTCTCACTCTTGTAGGTGGCCTCAAATTCATAGTAAACCCACCTCTGTCACCCAAGTGCTGGGATTACAGGTTTGCACCACAATACTTGGCTTCCATGGTTACATAGTTCCTAGAATTAAGACTAACTGGAAACACTACGTGCCGTGACACTGATCCAAGGTGAGGATGTATTGACTCATTGCTATTTATTCTGGAGACAAGTTCTCACTGCACAGGCCAGGGAGCTCTGATCCTTCCTCCAGCCTCAGCCTCCTAGGGGTGGGATTAGGCTTCCACCTCCACACCTGGAACTGCCTAGACTAATTTTAGTTAAGAGGAGACAGCTTCAAGTGCCCTCTTTTTAAGCCCCCTGTTGTTCCTTCTTGAGAAAGATAAGGTTAAGCGTGTGGCGTTAAACAAGAGGATATGCACCTTTAATATAAATTTCCAAATGGCAACCCTGTCTCTGCTGTAGAGCTTAGCGGGACAACCAAAGAAGAATCACATGCTTCATTTACCACGTGACACTACATTGGGGTGAAATTAAAGCATTTTCTTTTTCCCCCTCTCTGTGCACCTGTTTTATAGACGTGTGTATGTAGGTGTAAGTACATGTTTACACGTGTGCAGGTGGAGTCCACATGTCAATGTTAAGTATCCTCATCAATCGCTGTCCATCTTATTTTAAAAAATGGTTGATTTACGTGTATGTATGTATGTCTGTGAATGAATGCCGTGTGTGTGTGTGTCCGTCCGTGTCCTCGTAGATGCCAGCAGAGGGTACTGGAACCCTGAGAGCTGGAGCTACAGTCAAGTTTAAGCCACTTGACATGGATGCTGGGACTGAACTCATCGGCAGCAAGTGCTCTTAGGTGATAAGCATCTCTCTCTCCTCACATGGTTTTTGAGACGTTTCCTGTCTGAACTTGGAGTGCACTGAGCCAGACTCAGCAAGCCCTAAGGATCTGCCTTTCTCTGAATCTCCAGGGCTGGTGAGTGCTGCCATGTCTGGATTTTTAAAAACATTATTTATTTACTTTTATTTCATGTGCATTTGTGTTTTGCCTGCATGTATGCCTGTGTGAAGGTGTCAGATCCCCTGGAACTGGAGTGAAAGACAGGTGTGAGCTGTCATGTGGGCTCTGGGAATTGAACTTGGGTCCCCTGGAAGAGCAGACAGTGATCTTAACCACTGAGCCATCTCTCCATCCCCATGGATTTTTTTTATTTAAATTTTAATTAATTTTAATTTTTTCCAAGACAGGGTGTCACTATGTAGCTTTGGCTGTTCTGGAACACATGTAGACCAGGATAGCCTTGAACTCACAGAAATCCATCAGCCTCTGCCTTCCAAGTGCTGGATTAGAGGTGTGCTCCACCACTGCCTGCCTGAGCCTGGATTTCTTTCTTCTTCTTTTTGTTTTGTTTTTTGTTTTTTGAGACAGGGTCTCTCTGTGTGGCTTTGGAGCCTGTTCTGGAACTAGCTCTTATTGATCAGGCTGGTCTCAAAATCACAGAGATCCGCCTGCCTCTTCCTCCCAAGTGCTGTGTCTAAAGGTGTGTGCCCCCACTGCCCAGCCTGTGCATGGATTTTTAAAGTAGGTTCTGAAGAAGGAATTAACTCAGGTCCTCATGCTGATGTGGTATTTTACTCAGAGCCATCCCATCCTCAAATCACAAATATTTCTTAAAAGGTATGCCACAGAAATAACCATAGTGTCTGGAATGTCTGAGACAGCACATTTGGGGGAGGCGGCTATTTACTAAGTTTAACTTGACAGTGTTTCAGTACATTTAATAACCAGCAGAGCCGTTCAGATGCATTCCAGCCAACCATCAGCTCTGATTCATATCACCTTTCAGGCTGCTGCTGCAGGCCAGAGAAAGCGAAAACAATTTAACAACCCTGCATAGGCTCTTTTGACATTTGTTGATAATAGCTTCTAGTTGAATTTGATAAGAACTCTTTGTAGTGAGACAATAAGGCAAAACTAATGCACAATAAGAGCTGGCAGGAAAGCAGTCTTATTGAAGACTTTGCTTAACCAAAACAAACAAGCACACAAAGCCTCCTATACCATGAGAGCCCCTTCTAGGCTGGTATGATCCGTTAGCCCAGGAACTTGCTGCACCTCCTTTGATGGGACAGGAGAGCAGGGCTGACTGGAGAGCTCTCCCTCTGACACTATCACTTTAGCTTAACCGCGACTCTGCAGTCGCGTGTCTCCATTCAAAGAGCAGTTTCCTGGCTGCAGATGCATCTATTGGCCTTGGCACTCTATCTGTACTTCTCATTTAGCCAGCACATCTTGCTGTGGCAGTGCATGACAGTGATCTCAACACTGAGAGGAGAAGGAAGGATGGAAGCGAGTTCCAGGCCGGCCTGGTCTACACACCGAATTCCAGGCCAGTCAGTGTGTAAGTGAGAACACATCTCCAAACAGAACAAGAACACAGAAAGCACACATGGAAGCCACGAAGGTGAGACCTGCAGGAACCACACAGCGTTGGGAGGGGCTTCTAATCTCACCTCCAGTCCATCATTACCAAAAGGGACATTTAAAGCCCCTTTAAACATGGGCCACCCAATGGATCTTAGTTCCCAAATCACATTACTTTAAGAAAATCCAATCAGATACATCATGCAAAAATTTTAAACATAAGTTTATTTCTAACTGACACAGAATTCAGCACTTTGAATCCCCAGAGACGGGACAGGGCATCATCCTGTTTATAGCCTGTCTCCTTACTCTCATCCTTGCCTGGGACTGGAGGAGGGAGGAGAGCAAGGTACAACTTAAGAGTATTATAGACTAACCTAACTATGGTTCGTCTCAGACCCAGGTTCACAAAAGTATGACATTGAAGTGCCAGGCAAGTTGCCACTCCAAAAGGAAAGGGATGTGAACAGACAACTGTAGGAACAACATCCACACTATCTGTATTTTATGTTCTAATAAGGGAATGTCCTTGAAACATAAGTCTACCCTCCCCTGAATATACTCGATCTTGTCTGAAGGAAAATTTAATCAACAATAAATTAACATGAATAGTGCCTAAAACTTGATTACATGATAATATAAATGTTTTAGGTAAAGTTGTCTTAAAAAAGGAACAGTTTGGGTAAGTAGACAAGAATAAGAAATTGTTCAAACATTTACTACTTTATAAATAACACCAACATTCACATAATATTATATATTACAATGGTACCATAACAATACAAAATATATGAACCGACATACACACAGGACATGCACACATTATATTCTTATTAAAGATTGAGACATGACACTTTCCAGATTTATAAAACATACTCGAAATCACCATATTTTGTTACTTTTGAAAAGTATGTGCTTTTTTATTATACAATATCTTTGGTTTCTATTTAAAATCATCTTGGTTATTAAAACAAGGAGCTTCTCTTAAAAGCTTGATTGTTTCTTCTATGATGTAAAGTAAAACTTTCATTTAATGAATGACTAAACACTCACGTACTGTAAATCCATAGGATGTATAAACTCAAAACCCACTTAGGACTTTGGCTGGAAGACCATGATCATTAACCTGTTCAGGAGGTAGTCATGGTGATGACAGCCTTAAAATTAGGTCAGTCTCTGGAGACTGGAATGAATGGACAGCAAACAACCAATCACACATGTAGGAAATGCCCCATGAGAAACAACGTAGTAACAATGAAATCACCATCATGAATCATTTGGTTTCCTTTCAAAAGCCGGCACCTAGAACTCCCAGCACACAGAGGGTTGAAAGAAAGGAAGTGTTCAGAACAGGGTTGTCTGCTTTCTGGTGGATAGGTGGGTGAGTTCATTTGCTAAACGGTTGAGGGAAGCACCGCTTTGCACTGCTAAGAGCACCATTCAGCCACCTTCTAACATGAGAAACGCTCTTGTCCCAATGCAAGTGACGCTCAGCCGCTTATTGCTTTTTTACTCTCAAGTTTTTTTCTTCCTATTTAAGAAAGGTAGGGAGAGCAACTTCAGATGCTATTTCCATCTGTACACATCCAGAAAAGAAAACATCAAGTAAGTAACAGAACAGGTTTGGTTTTCCTTTTGACTGTACCTCTATCTGGAGAATTTAGCAAGGTTGCAGATGAGGACGAGAGCCGCTTGCTAATGACAGGATCAACATGTTTCGAAAGATTCATGGTGGAAACTGACCGCCTGTCTGGATCTAAAACAAATGGAGATAATGCTAATTGACAGCGGCACGCAGGGTTGCAATTGTTCAGAGGTGGAAGAGGAAGCAGGACGGGACGGGAGGCGTTCAGCGTGATTTCTAGAGCTTCCTTAACAGCACAGTTTCCCAAGTGGACCTATTAAAGTCAGTTAAAGGCCAGAAATAACGGTCACTTTTTTTTTTTTTTTTTAAGAAATAAAATAAAGGTTTAGTTCAGCAGCTTACATGAAGGCAGATATAACATGAGCAGATGAAGACAAACCCAAGGACGAGGAAAAGGCTACTGAGCTGGTGCAGGTCAACTGTAAAGCAAAGAGACCCAGGACAGTGGGTATGGTATGGTCGTGGTAAAATGCACACCAGGCTCTGCTGCTGCTTTCTGTCTATACCCCAGCTACTAGGCAGCTAGCCTGGCAATCTTTGCAAGCTCCCACTCCTGCCTTGATTTTTTTCTGATGGGGACTCACTGTAGCCTGGCCTGGCCTCAGACTTGCTAGGCCTTTGACCCCCAATCCAAGGAACGCAGGTGCACACCATTTAGTACAAGCTTGTCTGTCTGTTTCCTATTCTCCCTCCTTCCTGCTTCCCGTTTCTTTACCTCTCCTGGTGTTTGAACCCATTGTTAGGTAAGAGCTCTACAACTGAACCGTACCTGCAGCTCCAGACAGAAAGCCAATAAACAAAAGGGCACAGTGGTGGAGTTTGCCAACTGTGCCATAGATCTGGGGCTGTGTGTGTGGTGGGGTGAGTACATAAACGTGCCCAACAGAACTGGCAGCAATATAAATCAGAATTCTAAGTTAATGAGTATCATTGTTCAAATTACCCTGAAGCCAAATAAAGAATGGCTTTGGGGTTCAAATCAGAAGGGAAATCATCATTATAAAGGCAAAAAAAAAAAAAAAAATCAGTTCTGTCAATTTGTTGTCAGAACAAACAGATACAATCTTACTCATTGGTAAATGCACAATGACCGAATGGGCTACACGGGATAAAGCTCTACCCGTGTCAGTGTGTATCTGTCAGCATTGTGCGGACACTGATCTACAATGGCTAAAGTTAAAGAATCGGTGCCAGTTTTCTCCTCGTGGCTAATGAAAGCACAATAGAAATGTTCTCGGTTGCATCACCACTACGCTGTCCCCAGGGTCTGAATAATCTTGGCACTAAACATTTTTGATGAACTTTGCTCAACAGCATAGCCATTTTGACGATTATCTACTGGTAATAACCCATTGATGACACCTGAATTTTCTACTGGGATTAACTTTTATAGCTGGAATTTTAACTGTGTTTTTAAAAAGAAAAAAAATATGACCTAACATGATTACTGGGACTTACATTTTCATTTCTCTGACGGGGTCTGGGCAATGAGAATAGAAGCATAGAGGGAAAAAGTAACAGGATCGCCCTGATGATGGATGTGGGTGTGTGCTGAGGACAGACAAAAGCCATGTCCATGTGGTTGGACAGCGGCGTTTTCTGATGTCGATTCTACACTACACTTTGGCTGAGGGGGCGGTGTCTATATTAAACCTAAATATTGCTATTTCTCCATAGGTTACTAAAAACACTTAGTTCTATTTCCTAGTAAGCAGGGAAAAAAATGAGCTAGACAATCTCTTATCTACCAAAACAGTGTGAATGGCAAAGTCAGCTCGGCTACAGATGCTTGAAACCATGGAGGCATGCCTGTGTGTCATCTGAGACAATTTTCATTCATTTCTTCTTTGCACTGAATGAAAAACAATTTCACAAGAGGAGAGGATTGATGATTTTATAAGTAAAAATCTTTTTCAGGGCAGTATTAGCTGATGTATCAGTAGCCAAACAAGATGATGACTTTGATGGGGACCATTTCCAGGTTTGAGAGCCTGGCATGATCAGCAAGGCTTAGGAGCAGGCTTGGGTCAGGTGTTTCCCTGAAGCAAAGGTGGTAAAATGGGCAGCACTGATGTCTCAACACCTTAGCAGCTCAGCATCATGTGTGAGAGCTTCAACAAATTCCAGTTATCTCTCTCCTCTCTCTCTCTCTGTCTCTCTCTTTCTCTCTTTCTCTCTCTCTCTCTCTCTCTCTCTCTCTCACACACACACACACACACACGTCTCTTTTTTAGCATACCAGTAGTTTGCTCCCAACTGAATTTTACCTAACAGCTCATAAGAGCATCACTGGCTTTACTGCTCTGGATGGCCAAGTAGAAAGCAAGGATTAAGGTTTTGTAGGTTTATTGTTTCTCAAAGATGCCTGACACTGTATAACAGAGCATTTTTATCATATAGACAGGAAGCATGAAGCTCAGTAAAATAAAAACATGGCCATAAAACATTTACCATGAGCATTTTTCTTCATGGTACAGCCACGAAAAATATTTCTAGATAAAACATCCCATATAAACTTGCCATTTCTGATGACAGATTTGGGTGTGCTCCCTCAAAGGTGGTAAAGAGCCATGGGGAAAATGTGCTTCTAGGCTTGGTTGCGTGCCATAGAGAGATAAACTGTGATCATACTTGCTGAACTTAAAAACAAAATTCAGGGTTATAAAAAGCAGTAATGAAAAAACACAACAACCATGCAAACAACAATTCAATTACTCAGGTAAAAGTAAAGCTGCCTATGAGTGCGTTGTATTGATAGCCACCGGAGCTGTTAAGCTGGATGCACTTTGGTTAAGGTGATTCTTAGCTGAAAGGCAATGTAAATAGGCTTTATTAAAAATGCCTTAAAGAGAAAGCAAACATGCCATGTGAAACTATTTCAGCACCCTTACTTCACCTGAGTCATAACATCACACTTAAGAAACACTGTGCCCAGCTCAGATCTAGGTCTATGCGACTGACAGTGGGCATGCATGATGACTGGGGTGGTGACAGGCCAGCTGTCCATCAACTGGTCCTAAGTCTGAGGGGCTAGCTACAAAGCAGGCAGTCATCAAACACAGGGATGTCTGTACCAGATTTCCTAGCACCCTCCAAAGCTGTGATGTGGTGGTCCACCCCTGCTAAATGGAGAAGGTGAATAATGACTCAAGAGAACCACCTGGGGACAGAATGTAAGACATGATTTAAAAAAAAAAAAAAAAAGAGTATCAGACTCACACAACTGAAAAAGAATTAACTTACTATGTAAGAGTTAAGGTGTATTGAATTTACAGTACAAAAATAAACCTTTTGCTAAGTTTGTATTTCAATATAATTTTATGTCCACTCAAGCAGAGAAGTAGCTTGGACATTTACTATTATCTCTAGTCTAAGACACGTGCACACACTCCTCCAGAACATCAGTGCTATACAGGTTAGGGTCAGGTACAAATGCTTACAGTGCTGACTCTGATCTAGCTACACTGCTGAGATTCTTCCCAGGAGAAAGGGACGAGGGTTAACTTATCCCACGGCCATGAAGACCTTATGCAAATGAAATCACCACCACAGTTCAGACTGTCCAGTTTTAGAGTACTGCATAGGCTTCATCTCTAGGGGTCTCTGCAACCCACACAGAAGGGAGCAAGAGAGGTCCTTGGGGTTTACCTCCATCACCCCCTTCCGCTCAAACAATGGCGGCATCATTTAATTATAGTTTAATGATTTCAGCAGGATTTTTGTTTTGTAACCAAAGATTTAGGGGGGAAAAAGCAAAAGCACTTTTACTGTCCAGGAAAAAAACAAAACCCAAACACAGAGGAGACTTGAAAGTGGTGTCTGTATTTACCTGCACTGTGAATGTTGGGGCTCCCATGGAGAGGGCCTCCCCACGACCACCGGTTATATTTCTGCTTTGGCTTCTGGCTCCTTTCCATAGTCCGTCGCACAACAGCTTCATGGCGCTCCTTATTTGGGACAGAAGAGCCAGTGGTTAGGTTTAGCTGGTTGAAGGTTCTGGAGTAGACTACCTAAATTCTGGGCCCCATGCTATTGCTGTTATAATTTATTTTCTAACCTGTGTACTTTATCTTAAGAAGGCAACAGTAACACTCTCGGATAACTTGCTAGTTTAAAGCCCTTGCATAGAACAATCAAATAAATACTTCCCTACTGGTTGTGACACTTCACTTAAGTTTTTATTTACTTTTATACATATTGTACATGCATTGTCTTGCTGTCCTCAAACTTGTGATCCTCCTGCTTCAGCTTCCTGACTGCTATGACAATAGGTGTGTACCATTATGCCCCATTTAATTGTTGGTTTTGTTGTTGCTGTGTGTGTGTGTGTGTGTGTGTGTGTGTGTGTTTTACTGAGATTCAGGGTGTCGGGACCTTATGCATGCTATCATTATTATAAGGTGTGACTTTGTTTATTCTTCACTTATTTAACTCTGTGAAGCTGCGTTGCTGTGCCTGTTTAAAACACCTGATGGTCTAATAAAGAGCTGAACGGCCAATACTGAGGCAGGAGCAAGGACAGGCGGGGCTGGCAGGCAGAGAGTATGAACAGGAGAAACCAGGAGAAAGAGGATGGCAAGGGCCCCGAAATAAGAAGGAAAAGTAAGATATACAAAAGAAAGAAAGATAAAAACCCAGAGGGAAATTTAAAGATTTAAAAAAAAAAAAAAAAAAAAAAAAAAGCTGGCTAGAAACAGTCAAGCTAAGGCTGGGCGCTCATAACTATAAATTAGATGTGTGATTTATTTGTGTGCTGGACCCCCCCAAATGAGCCAAAGAGTAAAAAACAACCAACAAGATGTGTGTGTGTGTGTGTGTGAGAGAGAGAGAGACAGACAGAGACAGAAAGAGAGAGAGAGAGAGAGAGAGAGAGAGAGAGAGAGAAATATTCAAAGGTGCCAGAACCTTATGCATGCTGGCAAGTGCTTGGCCCATGCCTACATCCTCAGCTTCATATGGAGCCGTACTTAAGAAGTGGAATTCAGAAAGTGAGGACACAATGATAATTTTTCTTTTTCCTGTACCCACAAGCAGAGTGAATACTATGGATAAGTTAGAAAGAATGGGAGGGCTCCAAGATAGGAAAGTCCTTTTTCTTTGAAGCTTGGTGCATAGCCCAGGCTACCCTTGAAGTTGTGGCAAACTGTTTTCTGAGTGCTGGGATTACAAGCATGTTCTACCTCAGCTGCTAAGGTCACTCACTGCTCCCTATGCTCTACTGCCTGTGGAACTTAACTTTCTGCATATAACTCCCCACCCCTTTTGGGGAAACATAACACTCACTTAAGGTTTGAGTGAGCGTTAAATGAAGTATGTATGTGGAAATACTTACCTACGTGGAATGTTTGCAAGACCCTATGGAAGGCCACTTGGGGGTTTCAGCGCGTCAGTGCAGGGGAACAAAGCATGGGCGAGTGTCATGTTTTCATGAGAGATTCGAGTACTCAAAGTTCCAGCAGCAACACTCCTGTCCACACCGCCCCCCCCCCCCCGGGCTCCCCAACACCTGCAGCTATCTGCACCGCTGAGTACATGGCAACCTTGCATGCAGCACTATGGAAGCGGGGGTGGGGGTAGGGTAGGGGCGGACGTTCTGCTGCAGAGCGGTGTTGCGCACCTTGTCTTCCTCCAGCCTCTGTCTGCGCTTCTCCTCCACAGCTGCCCTCCTCCGCTCCTCCTTCAGCCGCTGGTCCTCCAGTTTCTTCTTCCGTGCTTCCAGGTGCCTTTCATAGTGCTGCCGGGCTCGCTCTTCTCTTTCCAGCCAGACCATCTCTCGCGCAGCTTTGGAGGCAAACAGAGATCCAACACCGGCAAGCTTAGGGTGTGAGTAGTTAGTGCCAGGTAAGTGGTTCGCACTAACTGTCCATTTGTGCGGTTCCAGCTTGGCCTTTGTTTTACTCACTGTGTCATAGAGGTCGCCCTGAATTTTGCTTCCTGGTTTGGTGTTGTGGCCTTTATAGTATAGACTGCATGCTCTGATACTACTACGGTGCTCTAGGAGCAACAGTACCACGCCCCTCTCTTTTTTTAAAAAGTGATACCTTGGGCCGGTGACGCGGCCCAGCAAGTAAAATCACTTGCCAATGCAAGCCGGAGGCCCCAAATTCCATTCCTGGAACCATCACAAACTCTATCACAAACTCTCTATCGTTGTTTACTGCCTATGTGCCACACACACACACACACACACACACACACACACACACACACACACAGAGTACATAAATCACCATCAAAATGCCAGGCATGGTGGAACACAACTACAAACCCAGGTTGAGGCAGGGGTATTACCAAGAGTTGAAGGTCAGCCTAGAGTATATAATAATGTTTCACTTAAAAAACCTTCTGTCCCCCAGCTCCTCCTTCGCCCCCCAACCCATCTCTCCTCACTTTTTCATTCCTTTTTTATTTTTTAGAGTTTGTAGTCCAAGCTGGCTGGCTTTGAACTCACAACAATCCTCTGCTCCTGCCTTCTAAGTGTTGAAATCATAGGAGGAGCCACCATGCACAGCTATTTGGTTTTACTTGCTTTAATCACATGCACTCAAGTATAAAAATTTTGGACTTTTTTGTTTGTGTTTTGAGACAGGGTTTCTCCATATAACAGCCTGGCTGTCCTGGAACTATTATCTAGTTTGAGGTCACACAGTTTTTCAGTAAGAACATAAGGGGAAAAGAAATCGTCAGGTTGTGGCACACATCTTTAATCCCCCTTACTTGGGAGGCTAAAGCAGGCTAATCTCTGAGTTTAAAGCCAGCCTCATCCATGAGTGAGTTCCAGTACAGCCAGAGAGCCAGAGATACACAAAGAAGCCCTTTTTCAACACACACACACACACACACACACACACACACACACACACACACACACACACACACACGAGAAAAGAAAAAGAAATCTATTGCTATAGACAGAAGTATGTCCCTAACCCCAAATCCCAATGTTGGAAGGAAACCCTTTAGCAGGAAAATAAGGCTGAACTAGCTGGGCATGGTGGTACGTGCCTATAATCTCAGCACAGAAGCTAAGGCAGGAAGACCACTGTCCCAGGCCACTGGGCTATGCAGAAGGCTCTGTTTCAAGAAGCAAAAATATAAAATAAGAAAAAGTTCAAATGGGCCCCTAAAGAGGGGAGCCCTTACTCGACAGAATTAGTGTTCTTTTAAGAAGGTATAACAGAGCTCATTCTCTATGCATGTGCGTATAATACGTATTTTTTTTTTTTTTAGATCTTTATAGTCTGTGTGTGCATGATGCATTTGTGTGGCAAGTGCCTCTATCCACTGAGCCATTTCAATAGCCCTTCTTTTCTCTTTTGATGCCCGTGCTCAATGGAAGAGCCCCAAGCTGGCGTGGAACCAAACACTGATCTGGGGTGCCCCTGACTCCAGACTGTGAGAGAATATAATTCTGAGGCTGAAATCACCCAGTGACTGGAATTCTGTGAGGGCAGCAGCCCCAATGGCCAATAAAGATCATTACATCTTTAAGTCATCAATAGTCATTTAACTTCATAAAGATTTAGCTTTATAACAGAATAGCATGTCCAGACAAACCATGAAACACTTTGAACATTAACCTCTCATCCTTTGAAGTTTTAAAACTCATCCCTAGCCCAATGGCTCTAAAATAAAAGGAAATGGACAAGAGCAAATTAGTCTCACCTGAACTGTGCAACCAGGATGCTTTAATGGTAAGGTAAATGGTAACAGTATGTCGGTGCCATACAAAACAGAAATACATTAACAATTTGGATTCTACTTAGAAATTGCTCAGTGCCTGTTTGCCAAGAGGGTTAAGGATGAGAAAGAGGGACTGGAGAAGATACACGAGCCACACAGGCACTTGAGACATGTCCTGCCCCTGACTAGCTTTGGACCACTGAACAAGTGATGAAGCCCATGGTCCTCTTCCTGAAATTACGATAGCACTGGTATCCTCACGGGACTGTGGGTGAGCTCATGGTAATATGCAGAATACTTGGTACAGTGCTATGCTCTTGTATGAGCCCAACACATGCAAATAATACGGCTGTGTGTCAATCTTGTTAACCCCTGTGCTATTGGCACAGATAGCATTCAGCTACTAGAAGGATACAAGTAGGACAGAGAACTCAGTGTGCTCACAGGCTAGGTGTGACCTACACCTATCACACTGACTGTCCTGGTCCTCCTGAGCAGGCTCTTATCTAATTTCACTGGTGTGTGAGGGAACAGAATGAACACATGGATGCCATCAACTTCTGCAGCATGTACAGTTTTGTATCTGTCGCTTTTTTTTTCTTTTTGTGCTAGGGTATGAACTGAGGATCTACCACTAGGCTATAACTCCAATCCGAATTTCAAAGCAAGGTGCAGAAAGAAGCATTTCTAGTTACATTTCTAGTCAAACTCTGATATGGGGAGGCCCTGATAAGAATATACTATATGTATAGTATATGTCTTTATTAATATTTGCTATAGTATTTATTAACATACTGGGGATATTAGCGATTTTTAAGTGAAAGAAAAAGTATACAATAATCTCAAGATATATGTATTGTGTGTATAATTTATTAATTTGCTGAAATAGCATCTTGCTATGCATTTCAGGCCAGCTTGGAGCTCACTATATAACTCAGGCTGGCCTTTCCTTCACCAGTAATGGATTTACAGGCATGCACCACTATACTTTGCTTTATTTTCATTTTGAATGTGAAGATTTTAACTAGACAATTTTAACTTTAGGGCTGTGGATACAGCTCATTAATAGAACCCTTGTCTAATATATACAACACCTTAGGCTTGGTCTTTAACCTTACAGATTACTCCAACTCTTGTTGGAATTGTATAATTCAGGTAAATACCTTTTTCTTCCTTCCTTCCTTTCTTTCTTTTTTCTTTTTTTGGTTACTGCAAACAAAATGTATGTAATAATTCTTTGAAGGAGATGTAGTATGATTTAGCTCATTGATTCAGGGGGCTGTGGGAAGGGGAAAACAAGAGAGTAAATTATTTTACAGGGCTTTGAAACTTTGTTTTTTGTTTTTTTTTTAAATTAGGCTAACCCTCAAATAACCAGCTATGTTGTTTAAAAGCTCATTTACCAGTAACATGCTTGCTGCTTATGCAAGGCCCTGGAGCTGCTCTCCAGTCTACCAAGAAAAAGGAATAAATGACAAAGAGCTATGAGACAAATGAAAGTACAAATGTAATAAATGAAAACACAGACTCCACGGAGAAGGCTTGGAATTGAAACGAGAGGATACAAAGTTAAAAGATGCTCCCAAGACCAGATGGCACAAAAGACTAGAGCTGGGGTTTTGATTCGGCTCATTCCAGAGCTTGGACTCCGCCTGCACGTTCTTGCCTACCCTAAAGCAGAACCTGCTCCTGCTTGTCTTCCCCCATGAGACTCCTGGGAACACTGTGTGAAGTCTGAAAGCGCAGGCGCCTCCTCTGTGGTTCCCCTCAGAAGTGTGACAGTGGACTCTGTCACACCTTAGAAACAGCTCTCTCCCCCATGCAGCGCACTTTCGGCAACTCTCTTGCTGTCACTGTAGGAACTCCGCCCCCTTTGCACAGGACTCACTCTATTTGCTTTTCCCAGTACACATATCTAGAGAACTCAACTCTCTGAGCCCTCACTGGGGCTACCTCTGTCCAGGATCTCTCTCTCCTGCCTGGTAGTCTGACATTCAAGCCTCTTTCTGTCAGAAGTCTCTCCTGAGTGGCAGTCTGGAGAGTTCCCACCCTAGCTCCCACCTATGCTCCCACTGTCTAGTCTGGTGGATCATGTAAAGCATGTCCTGGGGACCATTCCTAGCATGGAGGTGGGCAGGTGGAGAAAAAGACAGGAAGGAGGGAGAGAGAGCTAAAGGACTCTCACACAAAGTGATTTACATAGCTTTGATGAATGTAATTGTAATTCAAGGCTTTCCCACTTATTACTCATTTTTCCTTTCATTCTTTCTTTCTTTCTTTTTTCTTCCTTCTTTCTTTCTTCTTTCTTTCTTTCTTTCTTTCTTTCTTTTTCTTTCTTTCTTTCTGAGATGGAATTTTACTCTGTAGCTTAAGCTGTCCTGGAAGTCACTATGCAGCTCAAGCTGGTTTTGAGCTCTGGGTAATCCTTCTGTCTCAGTACCCCAAGGACTAGGATAAAACTTTCTTTCCCTTTAACTGTAATTGGAGTATGCAGAGAAGAACTGTCTGCTGTGACCTTTCAGAGCACCCACAATAATCCACAACACTGTCCTGTGTGATGGGTTTCCATTTGGCGTGCTTCCCTGTGATTGAAGGCTAACTGAGGTGTTTGAACAGCAATTCACACATGTGGAAACTCTAGAGCTCTCCCCTTATGTGTGGGGAGAAGGATTCAAGATAAGGAAGTAAGACAGATAGTTCCCAGAAATTCTAATGTTGTTTAGCCTTTGCTTGACCAATGACTGTCCTTGGAACTTCCGGTTACCATCCCAACCCTAATCTTTAACACTCCTCACAGAATGGTAGCATTGTCCTCTCCTGGCTGTCTCTCAGCTCCCTTCCTAGGAACCATAGTCACCCCTCTATCTGCTATCCCTTAGCTCAGAAAAATCAGGCCTAGAGCTACAGGCACCTAGTCATGTGACTGGCCACAGTCCTCCATTATCATCACCTCCTGGAAAGAGGCTCAGCTCATACCCTGTGCTAACCCTGAGTCACGTACAGGGATTATCTCCACAGCTGTGCTCTGAGACCAGCAGCACTGTGAGACACATGGAAATGAGGTAACCTGCTTCATATCTCACAAGTGGTGCAGCTGG